CCCTTGTGGGCCTGGTACTGGCAACCGTCTGTGGCACAGCGCCTCATTTTCACGGCCTTGCTCTCTGTATCTTCGCTGCTGTCGCTGCATGTTGCTACTACCTTTTCGCAATTCGGGCCATGGTTACCTTTGCCCTTAGCACAGACCTTGCAGCAGTACTCTGCATGCCAAGTTGGCTGGTACTGGCAACCCGGAGTGGCGCAACGCTTGCCGCCCTCCTGACAGCCCAAACTTTCTGTAGCTAGCTCACCGTCGAAGAGGGCACGCTGGCAGCGTGTGCCATGTCCACAACGCTTGCCCTTGGCACATGCCCCGCAGCAGTAGTCGCCCTTGTGGGCCTGGTACTGGCAACCTTCTGTTGCACAACGCTTGATCTTTGCACCACTTTCTGCAGCATTGTTGTCCGAGGGTCTGCCACCCAAATTAAAGAAGCTGCCTTGAACCGCGAGATCCACACGGTGACCGGCGCTTCTGTCACAGCTTTGGTCGACTGGACCCGTCCCTGAGACCTCATGCTTCCCCTTCGCGTTTCCCTTGCCAGCTTTCGCATTCTTGCCGTCCAATCCGAACATGCCCAGGACAAAGGCTAAAGGCCCTGTTTGCTTCAACGCACGAGCCATGAGCTTCACGTGCAGAGGGTGCGTGGCCTCTGACAAGTTGCATGTGAAGTCGTGCGTGTCACAGTCGCCGCCATGTAGATGCAACCTGTTTGCATAGCATACACCACATAGATCATAGTCAGGACAGGAAAGGCACTTGAAGCGAGGGCCGAGTAGAGGCGTAGCACCACAGCCATCGCAGTACACGCCAGGGTGCTCCAGCAGCCCTGGTAGGAATGGGAGCCTCTGCTCCAACCTTCAGAGGCTATGAAAAGGTTTAGGGTTGAGGATTTGGGGGCAGGGGTTGGGGGTTGGGGGTCTGCATTTCAGGATTTCAGGGTTAAGTTCACGGCTTAGCTCCAAACCTCCACAAGACCTTTTGCAGGCGATCGTGCTGCGACTCGAAGAAAGTGGCCATCAAGTTCAGCTTATCCTGGAAATCCATGGCCTCCGGAAGCTTTTTTGTCTCGTTTCCGGGTGCAGGATTCGGGGTGTAGGATGGTTTACGTTGTCGGGTCCTGAAATTTGGACGCCGTTTTGAGAGATGAGAGCCTGTAAAGCATACACAGCCCCCTGCAAACCCCTAGAGCCTGATGCACCCGTAACAACCAGAGCCTCCAGCTCGCTGAGGAAGGCAAGTAAGAACTGGCCGCCGTTTTCTGGCGTCACCTCGCAGCCAGTGCTGCCAGGAAGCCAGTTGATTAGTAATTTCAGTGTGTCCAATCAAAGTGGTAGGGTCTTCTGTTTATGTCCTTACGCAATCAATTTTGGGTTTTGGCAGCTTTTAGAGTTTAGTGTAGAGGGTGTAAGCTGAGAGTGTAGAATTTGGTGGGTTTGAGGTTGATGGCCCAAGGCTTGATAAGGCTTAGCAATCAGAGCACATTGGCCATGCTCCACAAGCTCTCAGCAGCAAGGGCTTTCAACCGGATTGCTGTGCTTCATAGCTTTACGGAGCAATTTCGAGCATGGAGATACGATTATAGGCTGAGACAGAACACGATCCAAGAAGCCTTGCAGACTGTTAGGCTTCTCATTTGGCTCTGCAAAAACATCAAGCCTTAGCCCGAGATGCGAAACCCCTAACCCCAAACCCAAGATTCTAAACAGTGAATACAACGTCGCATTACGGCATGCACATTGGAAGCCCGCATACTCCAAAACCGTTTCTCAACTTTAACAGTAAGTCGCCCAAGTAACTTGGATCGTTATCGCTTGCACAGCTCTTATGCTGGATCTTACCATCGTTGCAAGTTACACTCCTCGCGAGCTGGCAGCGACGCTGGAGCTAGAAATCTTGATCTTATGGTTGTGGCTTCAATCATGGGCTACTCATGATTATAATAAACATAGGCACTCATTGCAAGACTTAAAGCATTGAAGCTGGTTTCCGGGCCTCGGCAAGGAAACGTCCCAGGTGCTTTTCGGCCCTCGGCTATTTCAGAGCTGTTGTGCTTTTCTGGGTATGGCACTCCTCCTTTTGTAGTGCAAGTCGTCCGTAGTAGCTAGTAGCTAGTTTGTAGATATGAGTTTTGAGATGATAACATAGTTAGGAGCTAGCAAGTAGAAAGTAGCATGTCTTTCGTAGTAGCAGTGGCAGTAGTAGTAGTAGTAGTAGTAGTAGGAGTAGCAGTAGAAGTAGCAGTAGCAGT